TTCCCTACTAAGAAACCTGAAGAGAAAAAATGTTTTGTAAGTGGGAGAGCAGTATTGTGAAATTGTTTAAAAGTTAAACAAAAAAGTAAGTTTGTGGACTGGTGAAATACAAGTGAATAAGATAATCTTCAGAGATTTCGGTATTTTTCATTTAGGGCCTCCCGATTTTTTTACACTACCATTGAAAACATTGTGGTAGTTGGCATTCAGCTTGCCATTTCTCCAGTTCTTTTTTTATTTTTCTGGTGAAGATAAACTGTAGAGGGAAGGTGAACAGATGTGCTTCATGATTGTGAAAGGGACACTTTTCATTTGTTTTGAGAGAGAGGGAAGTAGAGGCACTTACGAGAGATCAGGGTAGAAGTGATGGGTGTAGTGATGCACTAGCTTAAAATTATTTGGGACAGAATGTTAATCTATGATAATTTAAAAATAATTTTATCCTTGTTCTGGTGTGGAAGCGGTGGTGTTTATACATAAATGTAGCAAAGGAAGGTTGTACAAGCATAATGTGTGAAGCTCTGTAAATTTTGGGCAGTGATTGCTGGCATCATGTCCAGGCTTATTTAGTTTGAATAGAAACATGAGCACATGAACACCAAGAACTTCAGCAGGCAGTGAAGACCATCCTGGAAATATCTGTGATGGGAAAGGTTAGAGGTGTTCTGCATATATAGAAAAAGAGGATATTTAAGAAGGACTAAGACAAAATGCTAGTTTCAAAATAAATCAGCGACTTGAGAAAATTTGGGGTATATGAAGCTATAAAAGTCTGAATAATAACAGTTTCTGAAATGTACAAATGTTCATATGACCTGTGCTAATCCTATCTAGAGGAATGGTAGCAAATAGTATGTGCTCCAGAAACCTGTGCTAGTGATATTGGCCAGATTGTTGGGGCTCATTTATTAGTAGACACTAAGAGAGTAACCTGCATTTGTGTGATCTTCACTGTGCTCTGTTGTGAGTCCCAGCAAACTCCTTCGTGTGAGCCGGGAGGCAAAGAGTTAAAACGTTAGAAGAGTTTTCCTGTGTAATAGCATAGATGATTTCCATGCAGAAATTGAATTTAAGATCTGTGCTGTTGTGAAAGATGGGTTTATCGGGGGGGGGGGGGGGGAAGTTTCCAACCTTTGAGACTGACACGCTAAGTTTGAAAGACCTTCACTTTCATTTAGTGCACTTGGACAATGCAATTAGTGTATTTTTGTCTAATCTTGTAGTCCTAGCAGTTGGTTTATTGTGGAATGGCTTGTGTTCACACAAAACGTTTTCCTTTTTTTTTTTTTTAACTTTTGCGGCTACTGGGTTTTCACTGGCTGTGTTTTTCTTGATCCTAAATACATGATCTGCAGTAAAAATGTTTTTTCTTTATTAGAATTTGTTGCAGAATGTCCAAACAGAATTTAGGCTTTACTTCTCTCTCCTTCTAATTGTTTCCTAATATGTGGGTGTCATACTTCCTTACCTAGTATTTATTGGGAACTACATGTTCAGTTCCCTTGGCCAGTTTTCAGAATTGCGGTCAACATCTGTATGTGAAAAATTACTACAAGGATGAAAGTACTATGATATCTTTAATTGTGCTTATCCCTCAGCAAAAAGAGTGTTGCCTTTTCAAAAGGCTAGCTGTGGCGATTAGCATGTTCTTCAAGGTTATAAATGGAAAAAAAAAAGGGGAGAAAAAAGCCCCTAAAAGAGGCAGTCTCATACTTCTTCAGGGGAATCTCTTCAGTTAAAAACTCCTTTCCTTCCTTTTATGTCTTATATGTGAACCTCACCATTAATCTGAAAGAAACATGAGCAAAAGAATAGCTCACACATGCCCTTAAAAAACCAAACCTAAAGATCAAAATAACAGTACCTTTTAAAATTATTACAGAAAGGACTTTAAACACATTTGTTTGTTTATGATCTTGATTTAAGACCAACCTGTGCTCTTCTTTGAGTAAATATTGAAAAGCTCTTTTAGCTGAAATACTGTACAATTGCATTTTCTTTGAACAGGTACTTTGTGCTGGACTTTGAGACGGGGATTCTGCAGTATTTTGTGAATGAACAAAGTAAAAACCAGAAGCCGCGAGGAACCTTGTCTTTAGCTGGAGCTATAATATCACCCAGCGATGAAGTGCCGCACATGTTGGTGGTGTACTCTGCCAGTGGCGAGATGTACAAGTTGAGAGGTACGGTGCTGCTTAAACTGCCAGCTCTCTCCCATTCCCGCTTCTGCGCCTCTTCTCTCATGTCTAATTTCTCTTTTACTTCCCTGTACTGTCAGAAGCTAGTGGTTATACACCTGTATTGTTACATACTGTATTATAAAACACAGTGGAATGGTAATCTGGAGTTAAAAACGTGACTTTACAATATATAGACTTTCAGGGCTGGAAGATATTTCGAGATGCCTTCTATAAGCTGTTACTGTGGCATTTTGATTCTACAGTATGTCTTCCTTGCTTCTGAAGGAAGAAAAAGCTGCTTTCATTGCTGTTCACAGTACAGTATTTAATTTCTAATATTGTTCTCCTTGGCCACCATCATGCAGATAATTTGCAGTAATGAATCTGCTGAGGGATCAGAGAAGGGAAAAATGCCAATAGAAGGCTCTTGAGATGCTCTGTTCTTGTCAGTCTTGGAATAATTGAGTGCACATTTAACATAAAATGTTGCCTTCCCTTGCTTCCAAATGTAAAAACCCCAATATAAGATATGTAAGAGTTACTTTTAATAGTAGTATTTTTGTTGTTGTTGTTTTTAAAAAGCAATATTCTGGTTCTAAGGTATTTTCAGTGTGGTTGGTTGATCTGGATAGTTTCGTATCAAAGTAGTTTATGAAAAATAAATGAAATTAAAAATGACACGTAATACAGAGTCTTTAAACTTCAAACAAAAATCTAAAATTATGTTAGTTTTTTTCTGACCACAGTTTATCAAGTTAGCTAGCAGGACACAGTATGCAGGAGTCCTCTGTAGTACAGTGCGTTACTGTTTTATCTGTAGAACTGAAACACAAGAACAAACAGGGAGGGTTTCTGTTAAAAATGTTTTAGAATTTGCACAGCTAGAAATGATGAACATTTGTGGTTTCGTTATTATGCTTTTCCAGTCACTTGAGATGACCAAATACTTACAATATGCCGCTTTCAATTTAATGAGATCTGTGAATTTGATTCAAATCAGTAAATAATTTTTATTCTGAGTCAATAACCATTAAAACACTTAATAGCAGAGGAAACAGCAGAGAAAGTAAGAGAAAATATTTATGGAAATTATCCTTTTTGTGTTAGAATTCCTAATTAGGATTGCTGTAGTATTGTTCTGTTTAGAAAAACAGACAAACAAAACACAAAAACCCAGACCGACCTCTCTTCTAAAAATACTTTATTAATATTACACAGGAGCCACCTGATAAAGGCTGCAGACATTTTTTTTCAATAATTTTTAAAGCTGTTTCTCAATGATGTATGGGGAAAGTTGTGGGTTTCATTCTTGTGTGTTTTAAGTTGCATGCGAATGACACATAGGTTTAGAGAAAGATTTAGTTGAACTACATTAAAACAGAAGTACTAAAGTATATGGAGAACTGGTAGCTTGTCTGGTAGCTGATTGACAGCCTGAGTGAAGAGATTTCACTGATTTAAATGCTATGGTGTGGCCCTTGTCCTTCACAGAGAGAGATGAGTAAAGCAAAAATAGATTAAAAATATATTTTAAAAAAGTAATCTTGGGGTGATTCTACTTTTAGTAACACTTGGAGGAGGTAAGCTTCTGAACCTTCTTCATAGTTACCTCTTCCAAATGGCCACAGTATCTTCAGTTGAGTTTTAGACACGTTGTACTGAAGAACTTGCATATACTTAATTTAAGTAGTGTAAATTAGAATTTATAGTGCATCCTAACCAATAAATAATCTCTCTCCTCCTCCCCAACCCTGTCACATTTTCTTCTGAAAAAAAAAGTGTTAGCTTATGTGTGATTCCCAGCATTTTCTTGTTTCTATTCTAGCTGCTGATGCAAAGGAGAAACAATACTGGATAACTCAGCTTCGATCCTGTGCCAAACATCACAAGGAAGGTAATTCTAAGGTAAATAATTAAGAGGGAGAAGTAACAATTATGTTTTAAGTGGTGTAGGTGAAGAACAGCACAATGTGGATGATAGACTGGGTGCTGTAGTTAGTGGGTTGATATTTAGAGGTTTATGAGTAAAAGCAGCAAGTTGTCATTTGTCACTAACTGGAGCGGGTGTAAGATTTAAGATTGGGCAATCTTAATAAACATTGTCCTAGTAATGAGAAATTAATGAAGTGCATTTTGAATGCTGTCAGTACATGGTTAATTGAGTGGCTGGGTCAACAGTTCTAGTATTATCAAGTATTATTAAATACTTGTGTGATGTCCTGATTCGTAGTTAAGTGTTAGGACTGATAGTAGTTTTACTTCATGTTATAAGATTTAATGGTTCTTATTATAGAAGCTTCAGGTAGATGTTAGCAGTGGTCAGTCTTCAACTTCTTTACCAAATCTGAAACAGGTAATCGTATGAATATTTATGTTGTTTATTATATATATTATTTATTTCTCTTTGGAAATTGTCAGAATTTTTGTCCTCAAACAGATAAATTTTTTCACAGGTAAAAAACTGACTTTAAAAGTAATAGAATGATGGGTTGAGTGTGTCCCTTGCCTCCAAGTAGAAATGACATTAATCTGTTTAAATTAGAACACACTTTGATAGTGGGGGATATTAAAAACAAGCAAACAAAAAGCCCTATCAGCCCCCTTCCATTTCTTAAATGGAAATGCTGGAGAGGGGGGAAAGTACTTTTCATAATTTGCTGTTACTTTGTAGAGAATGAACTCAGTGTGACAGAAAGGGACTACGCTGCAGTCTTTTTCTTCTGATGATGGGAAAGGAAAGGGCAAATCAGGGAAGTACAGTGAATAAGTGTTCTAGAGTGGCTGAATAGGAAATATTTGCTAGCTGTTAATAATAATATCTGTATGGGGGAGCCTCAAAGAAAATGAGATGAAAACAAGTTCAAAATAAAAGGAGATGAATGAAAACTGGAGATTATTATGGGATGCTTTAGATGCCAAAAGTGTATATAGATTGTAAAAGTATTTGAAAGGCAAAGTGTTTCTAGAAAGTCTTCACTGAGTGCGAGGCTGTTAAATACAAAGACAGCCTCTGCCACTGGAGATCAAACACGCAATTTTAAGAAACAGGACGGATTTAGAATGGGGAGCATCTTTGTAGACTTGTTCTTCAGTTCTTGCATAGTGACCTACCGCTGCTCTGGCTTTCTTCTAGTTCCTAGGCTCATTGTGCAAGAAAATAAAAGGATTTCCTTGACTGAGAGGTAGTGGGCATACATAACTGAGGAACCAAAGGAATGATTATTTCAGACAGCAGGAGGAGGGTTCTTGCATTTTTCATAGAAGACTGATGAGTTACAGAAACTTGACATAGGATGCTGGAGAATAGATGCATTTGGTTGGTACAGCCAGTCATAGATTTTAATTGGCTTGGATCCATTTAGTATAAAATAGAAAAGCTGAAGAAAACGAAAATATTTTCTTCCTTTTGCATAATTGAGGACAAAAATCTGTATTTTTGAATTTGTTAAAATAGCCCTACCACTGATAGGACTGTCATGATGTGATTTGTTGTTCTACTGGCAGCAGGGCTGGATCTCTCTCTTCCCTCCTCTCATGACACTTTGAGGGCTGTAGAAAATGGTGACCACGAATTGTGTATGTCTCATAGTGCTGTCACAGACAGGCAGATAGTCAAGTGTTTTATGCCTCTGAAGTTTCAACAGGGTCCAAACTCTGCCTTTGGTAACAGGAGTGTTTCTGCATCTGGAAATTTGGAGCCTGAGTATTTGCTCCCAGCTTGTCCTACAGCTTAAACTCACCTTTTGGACAGGAAGAATGAGAGGCAGAAATTTTTTGCTATTTTTTTGGGAGCTGTACACTTAAGAAGCAGGTGGAACAGGAAGTGTAAAATATGCAGCGAGAAATATATTTTATATTATGCAAGTGGGATATAGGTGAGCTGGAGAAACATAATGGGATAAATAAACAAGCAGTGAGAAGGTTCCCAAGAATACCCATGAAGCAACTCTTAGCTGCAAGTCTTTCATATTAGAGAGAGAACATGTTTTTGAAATCTTGAATAGATACCATTGGAAGGAGGTTCATAGGAAAACACAGGAATTTGGAGAATGTTTTTCAAAGCTGAAGCTGTGTCACTATTTCTGTGAAATATTCATAAGGAGAGTATTCCATCTTGAATCAAGATCAGCACCAGTTTCCTTTCTTTGTCAGAGCTGCTGCCTGCTTCAGAATGCTACCGTACGACGTGCTGTCTTTGCTGTCTAAAGCTTCAGGTGGGGACTAGAGTGGTGGAGGAAATTAAGCAGCGCAGTGATTAAAAAAAGAAAAGAAAAAAAAAGTTATATGCTAATGACTAAATGTAGTTGCATCCTAGTGAATGGTCCAAAGGTGAGCTACACAGCTAAAAAGTGGATGTAGCACAAGCTAAGTCTGTCACTTTGTTTTAATTAAACTTTACATCGTAATGATAAAAAAGCAGTAAAAGGATAATGTTCTCTGGCAAATAATTCTTATGCTGTAAGACAGTCTCCATGTTCTTGGTATTCCCATACAAGTCTCATTTTGCTTAATTACAGATTGCTCAACCTTCACAGAGTGCCAAATCATACTGTACTGGAAGAAGGCTTCTATGTCTGGATAGGATTACTGTTTTATAGACTATTCTAAGTGAATATTATTGTATGAATTTTAATTAAAGCATTAGTTGAAGTATAATTCAGTGATATTAAATGCTTCCAAGAAGTGGGCTTTTGCATAGTTTTTGTGGTAACTTCCAAGAATAATTTTATATACATAATTTTTCACAAGCTTGTTAGTTCTTCTCTTTCATACCCCTTTTTTCTTGGCTGTTTAATGATGGTGATTGTAAAAGCACTACTAAAAACAAACACGGGAGCTTTTATACCAGCTCTTAACTCCGATGTGTGGATCAGTCCCCTTCAGTCAGGACGTATAACCTTTGTATTTTTCAGTGTGTATCAGAAATGTGGCAGGGAACAGAAACTTTTATCTTGTGGAATAGCTTCTGTCTTAAATTGTGCCCAGATGGGAACTTTCAGCTTAGGTTTGCTCTAGAATGAGAAGGTGGACTCCCTCTTGTTCCAGCTTCTGGTTTGGAGCTGCACAGGTGAGCTGCTGAAAATGGTGTGGTTTCATATTTTAGCTGAACTCATCTGCTGATTCCCTGCAGCTGGAAATGACAGCCCAATTCCCTTCCTTCTGCTGCCACCCTTTGCATGGGCTCTGCTCTGTTTCTGGTCCTGTGGTAGCTCAGGCATCAGAAACAGAAAAACAGCATCCTCCTAAAAAGGACTTGGTTACCTGACCAGCTCGCTGAGGAATCCAGTGGGAAAGCTGGACTCTGCTTCCAGCAGCCCGTGGTAAAGCCCTGCTCTGCTCCTTCTCTTGGATGGAGGATGGCTGAAATGCATCTGGCCAAAACCTAACCTTTCTCTGGTTTAGTCTGAGGCTTCATATTTAAAATTGAGCCAGCCTAATGACTGCATGCCTCTGCGAGAGACTATCCTGCTCTCTTTCCCCTCAAGCAGTGCTCCTGTGCACATCAAACTTCTTTCCCTTTGAGCAAGTTCACTTTTCCCACCTCTGGTATGCTTGCCTGCTTCCTCCTCTCGTCCTATCCTGTCTTCCCCTGAAGCCAACTAAAGAATGGTGCCTCTAATTAAAACATGCTTTGGAAATCCTTACAGTCGTGAGGCTGAGAAGGAGGCAGTGCTTGGCTGTAGGTATGTGTGTGTTTGACACGTTTTTTCCCTCCCTTTAGAAGCTGCATGAAGGTAAGAGTTGCTCACAGCTCTCTGCTTTCAAAATCTTTCTACAGAGATGGAAAAATTGTGTTTATGACTGAACATGAGCTTGCTCAAATGATTCTTGACAAAGAAAAGGATTTATGATGGAATGATTATCATAGTCTTTTGCTTAAAAGCATACACAAGTATTGCCTTACTGAAGATGGTGAAATACTGTAATATTCTGTCAGAAAAGTTAGTACCATAGATGATGCTTTACACAAATGCGTAAAGCCGGTCCCTTTGCAGTGCTGAAGTTTGGATGTTATGTAGATTCAGTCATTTACATCTTAATATTTGCGAATGACCATAACGTAAATTAAGCAGATCTCTGTCCGTGTTTTTCTTTTTTCAGCATCTGTTTACTTAGGATGCATTGGAAAAGAAGTAGACAGGAAATAAAATACTGAATGGTGATATCTCAAAATTGTAATTACTTTCTGATAGTATGTGACTTCTCATTGCTCTAAAGCTGTGTGCAGGGATGGGTTCTGTGCTATATATATATATGCAGAGGAGTAAAGGAATGTCACTTCAGTATTTATTATTCTGTAGAAAACATCTGTGGCACAGTGCCTGTGAAAACGATGATTATCAGCCATAAACAGATACGACAGTTCACTTCAGAAATTAGTTTATTGATCTCTGGAACATTGCATTTACTTTCCAAAATAAACAAAACTGCTTCTGGTAAATGGTGGAAAACACTTCAGCTTCTTTGTGAGCAGGAGGGGCAATCTCCAGGGAGAATGAGTCATGAAAACATTAGTACAGTTGAAACTTGCTGTTCTACAGTTACATTATTTTAATTGTTAGGAGTTTTGATATCCAGATGGAAGCATTCATTATGCTGCTTTTTATCTTGGAGATGGACAGTCTACTAAAATAAAACTCTTAACCCAAATCTATGTTAGCTAAGCATACTTTAGCTAGCTTTAGGTCATAAACCCAAGATGAACACAAGTTACAAATGAATCTTTTATTAGCTTCTTTATTATTCTTTTATTAGTTTCATTTTATTAGCAGGCAGACTGTTGGAGCAATGGTAAAGTGTAGCCTCAGGAAAGAATATTTGTAATCCTTTTGGGATGCTTCAGCCTGTAGATTTCTTGACTCATTATTGGCACCATGCATTACTAATTGTTGAAGAGCTTATGTCTGCCTTTCATCAGACTTTTCACTATCTTTTTATTTATTTATTTGCAAACCAGAAAGCAGTAGGACCAAAGAAAATAAGATACGATGGTAGAGGGGCAAATCAGTCATACCAGCAGTGCCAGGGGGAAGAACAGGGGATTAGGAATAAAGATCCATTGGTTACTGTCATTGCTCTGATTTCCTGAGAGAGTGACTTTAATGCCTGTTGTAGTGTGATGTGTAATTAGAGTGCTTTTAGCTGTGGAAAACATCACATAGGTTTTAACATTTTCACAAAATAGGGACATTTTGATTTTTGCACAGCTGTGTATCAGTGCAAAAGAGATGCTTGTCATTCCCAGTGTTTAATCTGAAGAAGTTCTGCGGAAAAAGGAGTCAGGTATTTGGCTGGAACATAGGTGTTGACAGTCTGTTGTGAAATTCAGAAGTGCCTAAGGGGCTGAGTGCGTCATTCCTGGAGAGGCCTCTCCTGGCAGTGAAAGGAAGAAGCTATCTCAAGAAATCGCCTACTGCCTCCATCTTCTTGGACAGAGGAGGCACAGTGCTCTGCTGCTGTTCTTGGTGGCATTGAGGAGCGGAGTCCCACTTCGAAAAGTTTTCAGTGGTTGTAGAAAATCTCCTGCAGACATTCCTGCGTTTTGTGTGTGACTGCTTTTGCAAGCTGTAAGTTGGAACTTTTTTCATTTATCATGGGACCTTGCCTAGGGATAAGGGTAGCCAGAGGTCCTGGTGCTGAGTTCATTTAGGGTTTCTGTGTTACAGACATCCTCTCAAGAATGATCTCAAATTAGACGCTAGAGCATTTGTGTTGTGGGCTGGTGGAGTTTTCTGGCATGTTGGTTAGAAATGTTAGGTCACTAGATCGATGAAGGGTATAAAGGGACAGAAAATGAAGAGGAGAGGAAAACTTGCTTATAGTCCTGTAGGAACCGTTGGAACCAATGTATTTGCCTCTGATATTTGGCACAAACTGTGGCTGTATGTGCGAATTCAAGATTGCAAATTTTCCCGACTCAGTGAGCTGCAGGATTGCTAACTATCTTGTGCTGAGAGGGGAAGGAGAAGGCTCTGGGAGAGGCTCACTGGCAGAGGTGGTCTTGTCCTAGAGCTTGTCATAGCGCTACTGCAGGACAAGACATGCAGCTGAATGTCAGGCGTGCCAGGCAGTGTGATATGGTCAGCCCTTGCCAGGCTGTGAGCTTCTGTACATAGAGATTGGGGGTTACAGTGTGCCTGTAGCAGGACAGCCTTCTTGAGCACCACTTGCTACTGAAACTGTAGATGGGCTGTGTTCTTCCCGATTTTTCTCTCCTGACCCACTGATTTGCAAGCTCCACGCCCTAAATGACTGTCGACCAAAACCAGTTGCTGTAAGCTGCCACGTACCTTTGCAAAACTTAATGAAAAGCTGTCTTAAATGCACTGTGGTCCCATGGGTTGTTTATTCTGCCTCAAGTCACAGTTTAGGAATGTGGTTGATGTAGCCCAGTGAGTTGTGATATGAACTACAGCAAATCTTGCAGGAAAAAAAAATCTAAGCTGGATTAAGAGACTCCTAAAATGATGGGTGTATCTGTTTATTGGAAATTTCATTGTTACTCATTTGTCATAAAAAGCCAATTGAAGATGGCTCAGCTTGCTAACAGCTTTTGTACAAATAGTTCACTATCAGATTTATGACTCCTGAGTGTAAGTGGGGTTTGGTGAAAGGCATATTTTGTTAGGGGATGTGATGACAGAAAATGTGAGGTGTGAGCTGCAGTCAGGGGTTCTGTTGTGATCTGTAGGTCAGCTGCAGATAGTTCACTGCAGTTTGAAACAGTGTCTTGAGGAAAAAATAGCATTGAGTTGCCAAATTGTATAAACGATGTAGATGTTAACTTAAAATATAGGTGCATTTGAATTTATGAACATGTGTCTCAAAGTATGCAGGTTAAATGAGGTTATTTTGGCAGCCATTTTTTCTGAAAGCTAACTTTCTCCTAGAATTCCTTCTCGATTCTTTATTTAAACGGAAACAGTGCATGGATTTTTCCATATTTGTTTTATGTTACGTTTGTTATTTGCAGATCTATAATTCTACTCCCACCCTTCTAAGAAAATCAGAACACAATAAAACTTCACTTCTCACAGAATGTTGTTTTCTTTCAAGCAAAAATAATGACTAAACTCACTGGTTTACATTGCTGCTGTTTATCTGACTTGTAGGATCAATTTGGCTATATGAAGGTGCAGTAATTTATATCTGATATTGTGATCCCATGATAGAATGTCAGTGATTCTCCAAAGTTTTAATTCTAAAAACAAATTAGCTTTTATGAAACTGAAAGGTAAGGTGATCTTATGTCGAATAGAACCAAACTTATCTTGTTCTTCCTCTGCACCCTACATTTATTGTAGAAGTATTCTGATGCTACTCAGTTTAAAAAATAAACATCAGTAAGTATATTCTGCTTTTATATACTAGGGATACCCTTCTTCTGTGAAACTTCTATTTTAAAAAGGAAATTCAATCACACCCAGTTTCCCTCATCCCCTTCCTTCTCCCAGATACCTTTTCCTCGGGCTCTTATTTTAATTGGAGTTATGTCTAAGTAATGCTCTTTCCCATGGAAGATGAATTAAAAACCTGGCAACCTTCTGTGCCCTTCTGACAAATTCTACTCCCTGTGCTTTTTTTTTTTTTGCCTTAGAGTCAAATCCAGTTTTAATGTAATTGTGAATTATCAGCCAGGTTGGATAGGTTTTGAATGTCTGATTCTGCAGATGCTTTTTATTATAATCTTACTAGTCATGATAGTAAAGAATGTGTTTGTTGCAAAAGCAGATCGTCGTTCTTGGAAGTGTTTGTAAAAGTAAGTCAAGACCAATGGAATAATGCTTGTTTCTATGAGTATGACAGCTTTTTGCATGCTGGGAAAGTGATAACCCATTTTTTAAACCTTCAAATCCCTCAAGAAGTCTGAAGTCTAGTTCTGAGTGGGAGTGGCAGAGGGACCATGTAACTTATTTCACTCTTCCTTCTTGGCAGTGCCAGATAATCTGCCCTGTCATTTATGTTATTCTGTTTCAGTTTTAACCTTACAAATGCAATCAGCAGTTTAAATAGAAGGGAAAAGCTTTTTTATATTGTGCTTTTATATGATAACCCATGGTGCTCTAGTGCACACCTGAGCTTGATGAAAAATTGCTGTCCTAAAGACCTCCAGGAAAAACTGTTTGAGGGCTCCAGAAAACAAACCAAGATGGCAGCACTGACAAACAGATATGAACAGAGAAAGTTCTTGAATGTTCAGGCTGATTTTATAGGTTGTATGTTAAGATTATTCACACTGCAGATACTGTTGGAGATTTATTTCTGGCCTTTTTTGGATTTAGGGTTTATCCCAAGCTTACTCCAAAATGTGTTGGCTGTTTAAGCCATGTTTTGTTTTAAATGGTAACGTTAAATTGGTGTGTGGATTTGCCTTGCCAAAATTGCAGTCCCTCTGATGTTGAAAATAGCACTGCACTGTTTCAGAAGTTCATCAGGTGAAAGCATTAAGATTTTTTTTTTTCTTCCTTGCTTTTCACACCAGTTTCATGAGTTATAGGCCAGTTGCTCCATTAAAAATATTTGTTGGCGCTGTTATTACTCCGTCTGCAAAATTCTCTCTGATCTTTCCTAGAAGATATGGTTGTAAGAACTTAGCAACATGTTAATATGTAAGAGTTTCGTGAAGCTTTTTGCGAAGGCCAGTTTCTGACAATCCAAGAAACACAGGCAGTGACCACAGTGTTTCCAAGAAGATCCCTGCTGAGCAACACAGATGGTTCAGAAGGAGTAAATTGGTACTGAGCACAGTTACATCTCCAGATTTAATTTGTGAGGAAAGTAGAAAAGTGCAGATCTATAGCCTGGATTGTAAATTATTTACTTGTGTAAAGATACTAATATCAACATCCCATTGCTTGTTCTAGAGCGTTTCATCACGAAGTAGAAGCTCATCTCTGCTGCCGCCTGGAACAGTTAATTCCGCATCTCCTAGTGGCCAGAAACATATGAATCAAAGTGGGCCAACTGTTGTGACCATCACGCATCACAAATCACCTGCAGCTGCTCGAAGAGCGAAGAGCCAGCGTTCTGGTCAACTCCATGAAGTCAGAGAGGTAAGAGATAAAAATCTGCTGTTTTCCCATAACTTCTAAATGCATATTTTACTTTAGAATAAGCAATCAAGTCTGACAAATTAACAGGTCTCTTTGTTTCCTACTTCATGTTTGACTGCTTTGTTTTGCTTCTCATGCTGAGCAAAAGGCCGTCTTTAGTTCTGATTCAGCTTAAAATATGGTATACACAGGCTGTTTTATGCTGATGTTAAAATTGGTGTGTGCACATGCTTAAAAGAGGATGTAGGTTGGCCACCACTCCCAGACTTTGCCATGGTGCTGCTGTGCTGGAGGAGCATCTCCTTTAAGCTGGATGTAGCAAAACCGTTCAGATTGGAAAGAGGGCCCTGAAGCATTTAAATGTAACAAGAAAAAAACAACTTGAGTAAGTCTGATGAATGAATGTGAAAGAAGGCACAGCTCTCCACTCTCAGCAGTTTCCTTCTATATGGCTATAGCCTTCACTTTGTTGTCAAGTTTCTGTTGCTGGCTTTGTGATGGAAGAGTGCTTTCTCTGTATTAAACACATAGAAAGCAAACAAGAAAGCCTGTTTCTTTCAAAGCATGTTAGCCATGGTTTGAGAAGTATAACTTGTATACTGATTTAGACCTATCTTCCAGGCAACAAAAACAGTACAGAGTTTCAAGCTTAGATAATATGGCAGACTTTCACAGAAATCGCTTTCATGTTTTTCATCCCTTGTTATTTTTGCTTTGTCTAAATGTCTTGCTGTTCTCTAAGAGTGCCTTTGTAGGTCCCCATACCAAAAAACCTGTTGTCAGCCTAGCTGCTTTAAAGCATTGTTTTAACACATGGGTTTAAAATACCTACCCCAGACATTCAAGTTGCAGTATCAAGAGTCTCCTTTTAAGTTCACACTCCCTAAATGTTTCATAAATGGAGACCTTTGATATTAAGAATCTGAACAAATTCTTAGTGCGTGCACACAGTGGAGACTCAAATTACACATCTGGATGAAGAACACTTGTTTTTATTCTAGTAACATTAAAAGTGAAAACTTCCCTTGTATCCTCTATTGTATTAACAAAAGTCATTCCTTGCTCTGAGTGCGCTGTCTGAATGTCACCCACGTTTTCTTTACATTATAGAAAACACACGTTATGTGTGTTTTGTGAGGATATTTTGTCTTTGCCTACCAATCATCTCCCTCAAGTATACCTTACTAAATGTATTTGCTCTCGTAGGTTGAATTCAGAGTGTACCTTAAACCTATTAATAAAATAAACAGTGCAAGCTGTCGCAGCCTTGTCAAATGAAGCTGCATAAGACTGGAAGGAATTTAAAAGAGAGAATTAGTGTATGTGCTGATGTGTGTGTTGAGAAGGGAAGAAGCCAACACATGAAAAGAACTACACTTGGGAAGGAAGAAATAAATACTAGCCTATAGTAAAACAGAGAATAAGTGGCTAGGCATCATCCCTGCAGAAAAGGGCTGGGGGCTGCTGTCTCATTTGTTTGCGGTGTATTGTGGTCTGATGTCATTCCAAAAAGGTAAATATTCCAGGATCTGTAATCATGGAAGATAATTATTTTGCTATGTTTGATGTAAGTGATATCTCAGCTGTAGCACCAAATCTGGAGAGGGCTGCAATAAAAAAAAAAGAGCTTAGGCATTGAACATATGGTAATGATTGAAGGTTAAAAGAAAGGAGTATTTTTCAGGGAGGGAAAATGGTTCTAAGATAAACAGTGCTTAAGAAAATTTTAGACGGTGATGTGTGAACTCTGCCTTTTTTGTATTGAATTTTGTTGTTTGTTTGTTTTGGTGTGCTGCTGCTTAAAGAAGAGCATTTCAGTAGAAAAATCAGTCCTTCTGCCCTCTTTCCCAGTCTCATGTTAAAAGTGGCTGCTTGACTGATCTTGTTTCCATCTTATGGAAGGCTAAGTCTGTTTTTCCAGATTAAGGAAGCAGATAGATTTCATTTCAATGGCATGCTCTGTGCATTTCCTTCTGCCCTCTTTTCCAGAGTGAATGCAATATACGTGGGTATGTGCTGCCTGTTTTTTCAGGGAATAGTCTTTTTCCCTATATGAGTCAATGGGGACTTAGATCCCTTGTTAAACTTAGGAATAAAGAGATGGATCCAGAGACCTTCAGAAAAGTAGACTTAAATCTGTTCTAGTCCCTTTTTTTCAGTCTGAGGCAAGGAGAAATAGGAAGTAAATCCCCTCCTCAACACCCAAATCTTTGCTTTTTATTTGGAAGTTGTTTGGTATGATTTGGATGAAGGGAAGAGACTGCAAAAGGATTATAGATCTGTGTTAGTATTACCCTTATAGAATGAAGTTACTAAAGTTTTGACATGGAAATAAGCTTATTTTATTGTACTATAAATAGGAGTACATTGACTAACTTTACCGCTTGTAAAATGCAGTAGTTGAGTCAATAGAAAGAGTTTACATGCTTCTGGAAAATGAGAAGAACCATGTATTTTTATATTTTAAAACAATGTTGTGGTAATACTACAATATTGTATAGGAAATCTGTGAAAAACAGGAATGTTGCAAAAGGGGCATCCTTCACTTGAGACATATGTTCTTCACTAGCTTGGAAAATGTCCCTGGGAAGTGCTGAACTTGAAATTGCCACTCAGTTCTGGACTGGTTTTTCTTGCTTTTGCCATGTTATTTGGAAACAGTGAAGCGTATCTGCATGTTGTAAATAGGACAAAATGTACTCCTATGTTTGATGTAATGCAATAATATTTGGTAATACATGGTTGTTCTTTTTCCCCTTTTTTTGCTTTCATTGTTTGTTATGGCTGAGTATTTTTTTTTTTGACAGTGTAGAGAATTTTAGTATAAAATGGACTATAGCAAAGAGGTCTATTTAGCACCAAACTGATGTGCAAAATTCTGTGAAGGTGGTGAAAGCAACTGCATAGGTCTCCAAAATGACACATGCAAGAAGTGCTTCTATTGTGAAGTTAGAACTTTACCTTTTTAAAAAATTTTGGTAAGTTAAAATTGAGCCTGAATGTGGAGCTTTTGACTGCTATAAAAACTTAGCTTTTAGCACTCGAGCTACTTATGCATAGCATTGAATTAAAAAGGAGCATTACTTTTCATCATAATGTATTGTTTCTGTTGAAAATAATATTGCTCTCTTAAATCAGATTTTTCCTTATATTAACTTGATATTAATAGTCTAGTCTGTACTGATTTATGGAATGTTATATCAAAATTAAATTCACCGTACATTAATTTGGGAGAGCTGATCTGCTATGTGTTGTGTTTTATGCAGAATTCTTCATGGTCCTACCTCTTTATTTAGTCCATAAATTATCATTAAAGGGGTGCTTTCAACTGATTATTTTTTTAGTAAGTGTTTTTATGGTAACCTAAGTGTGTGTCATCTTGAAAATGAATTTTGTTTTTTAAACTATGCATATTATTATCCTCTTAGCAATTTGTGATAAGAGTTATGCTTGCAGAATTCTTTACTGCAGGTGGTTAAAATTAACTGGAACATAAAGCCAAGTGGCCACATCACACTTCCTATTAAATTTTACTTATCACTGAACTGAATAATAGTGGCACACTTCATCTAGAAATGGTGTTTGTTTTGGCTGAGAAAGTCTGAATGTTGTATGACCTCTCTCAGTGTTACTGTTGGTTGTAAAGAGACAAGAATTGCAGAATGGGAACGTTTTGTAGTAACTTACATTAAAGCTTTACAGAAGTTTAGAGAAATTAAATGGAGTTAACCAAAAGACCTCTTTTTTTCATAATTTTACAAAGTTGGTAGAGGAGATCCCTTTGAAGTGTGTTTGTTACGACTTTTGGTACTCTGCAGTGGACTAGTTACCAGCCTGTGTTTCTGAACGCTTCTGGTACAGTGAGATCCAGATTTCATGGAGCCTTCACCAGTGTGACATCTATTTTATGTGCCAGTGGGTAGGTCCAGAATTTGGAAAGGACTGCTTTTTGGGTAGATGTCAGTCCTACTGCTCCTTGCATGTCCTTTGCCATATATAAACATGGTTACTGCTTGATTCCTGCAGGGATTATGCAACTAGATGATAGTTCTTTGCTTCCTCCCTTACCATATAGGAAGATCTAGGACTTGCACCTGGGGTGTTGTGGAGTGAGGTTTATCTGCAATTCTGTAGGGCTGCAGTTGACCAATTTTGTGTGGTTACTACGAGCAAGAGATGATTCTAAAACACTTTGGGGATTTTCAAGCGAGATGTGAACGTCTTCAGGTTGCTCTATATTTGGATAGCAAAACTAGGAACTGTGACTAGCTATTGGTAGAGGAAAAGGATGCTGTTTTCTGTGGAGAACTGTTTGTTACAGAATTATAGCACTCCACAGGCAGCATTGTAGGTGAAAAAGCAGGTGCAGTACTTAAACCACTCGGGGAAGCTTTCAGACATGCAGGACTTCCACGTACGTATGTGAACACACAAAGACACCAAACTGTGAATATGTTAATGGTAAAACTTTATAATCAGTGTTTAAGATGGTAGTAGGGGAAAGACTGATGATTTTTGTTCCATGACAAATTTTACTTTTCAGCTTTGAATATGTCAAGTTTTTTGCTTTTTATTTCATTTTTATCCTCCTTTTATTTCTCTGGAAGTATAAAAATTACATGAAAGTATATAAAAAGATCAGTGGCTAAGATCAATCTAACGCCAATTCTAGCAAAAAGAATGCTGTAGCTCTTACTGTTTGGCATAGTGTTGAGGTTATGTGAGGGTGTGTGATAAGGGCGCATGTAGAAGAAAAGATTCAGATCCTTGAACATCATGTATAAACAGTGTGAAGTATACACATTTTAAAATATCCTGTTAATAATTGAAGCGTTTTTGAAAGTGTATGTAAAATTATGATTAGTTTGATAAACGTCTGTGTAAGTAGGGAGAAGAGCAGTTGCTTTCACTGACAGTTCTCATCTTGATCTTAGAATGTGGGAAGAGGAGAGCTAGCTTTGTGACAAAGATGACCTTCAGGACTGCATGGCTAATAAATA